CTCGTTCTAGTCTGCATCGCCATGAAGAATTTAGTTTTGTGTGCCTTATTCCTTTTAGTCGCTTCAAGGTGTTCACTTGCGGTTGAACCAGAAGCTGAAGAAAAGTCACAAAAGGTAACAATTAATTTGATCTCTAACAAGGCAGTCCGAGTTTTCCCCACCTCAAATTCCATCCGATGCATATTTCGCCGAGTTTTTCTCTTCCCCTGATGATCTTTCCTCCAAGTAGGTCAAGATGAAGATTCCTTATTTCAGGTGGCTTGTATCTCAAGCAAAAAAATCTGGGGTTGATGAGGCTTTGTCGAAGTACGATGGCAAATGGTCTGTCGAAGTTCCCGATTCTAGTGCCATCTTGCAAGACTTTGGCTTAGTTCTAAAGTCTCGAGCTCGCCACCATGCTATTTCTTCAAAGCTAAACAGGGTATTTGATTTTTCTGAAGATTCCTTGGTGCTTCAATATGAAGTGAAGTTCCAAAATGGGATGGAATGCGGCGGAGCCTATGTTAAGCTTCTTTCTGACTCCCCCAGCCTTGACTTGGGTACTTTTAACGACGTGACTCCTTATACAATCATGTTTGGTCCTGATAAGTGTGGACTAGAGCATAAAGTTTGTTGCCTTATTTTAATCCACAGATACATTTCATATTTAGGCACAAGAATCCCCAAAGTGGAAAATATGAAGAAAAACATGCTAAAAAGGTGTCGCAGGATCTGGATAAGTACTTTAGTGATAAGAAGTCACATCTTTACACCCTTGGTAATTTGACCTTTTTGTTACTCCTCAAGTTGTTCGCTCGGATAACACTTTCGAAGTCTATATCGATCAGTCTCTGGTTAATTCGGGCAGCCTTTTGACTGACTTTACGTATGCTATTCGTAATTTTACCTCTATGTCCTAACTAGTCCCGCGGTCAATCCTGAAAAAGAGATAAACGATCCTAGTGACAGAAAGCCTGATGATTGGGATGAGAGGTCCAAGATTGTTGACGAAAATGCAATAAAACCCGATGAGTGGGATGATGATGCTCCTGAATTCATACTTGATGAGACTGTGGTCAAGCCTGAAGGCTGGCTTGAGCACGAACCTACAATGATACCAGATCCTGATGCAGTCAAGCCTTCTGATTGGTACGTGAACTATTTGTTATTTCGTCTAGGGATCCTGAAATTGACGGCGAATGGGAGGCTCCTAAGATTGACAATCCTAAATGTTCCTCAGCTCCTGGATGTGGAGAATGGCATAAGCCAAAAATACGTAATCCGGATTTTAAGGGCAAATGGTCGCCTCCTCTAATTGATAATCCGGCATACAAGGGCGTTTGGAAGCCCAAACGTATTCCAAATCCCGATTATTTTGAGGATACTCAGCCATACAAGATGACTCCTTTTGTAGCTATTGGGCTGGAATTGTGGTCAATGACTGAGAGCATAGTTTTCGATAACTTCTTTATTGCAAATAGCAAAAGGATTGCAGACGATTTCGCATCGGAAACTTGGAAGCTTAAGCGGGAAGCTGAGCGCATCGCAGATCCTAGCGCGGTATATCTTCTTACATTACTTAGGCGTTATGTATTTAGCCCTAATCTGA